GAGAGAGAGAGAGAGAGAGAGAGAGAGAGAGACGAAAAAAGAAGAGATAAAGAGAAGAAGGGATAAAAAGAAAGAGATAGAAACAGAGAGGAGGAAGGGAGGATAAATTCCGCTTAAGTGTACAAAACGGCCATCTTTCTTAAAGTGAATCAGTGAATAGTCACTGATATCAGTTATAAGTATTAAGCATTTTCAGTGCAACACTTATAACTGCAAATCAGTGTATATTCACTGTTTTTGATGTTTCACTGATTCATTTTAAGAGAGATCCCTAGATGTAGAGGATAACGGAAACGGAAAGAATATCCGCTACGTAGAAACTCTGATAAATTATGAGGCCACCAACTTTATATCAATATCAATATCTCCACGAGCGATCTAGGTGAAATCGCGGACACGCATCGTGCTGTCGGGATTCGACTCCGACTTATTTCATTGTGAGGATCCCGTGCACAGCCATAAAACATCCAAAATATCACATATGTCCAAAACTGGGATATAAACCCTTGTCCACAACTTTGCTTTAACCCTTTAAGTCACAAATTTTTTTACACAATTTTTTCCTTTGTTCAATCGATATCTGGGGGATTTTGGGATCGCTAATTATAATTTTGAAGTCAGTTTTTAAAAATTCAAAATGGCGGATCCAATATGTGGTGGACGATAATTTTAAAACTCCCTCGATTTCGGTGAAAATTGATATCCGAGGGTTTTTGGCGTCGCTGACCACAAATTCGAAATCACTTTTTTGAAATTTAAGCTATTCACAGACTCAACTTCACTCATTTAGGAAAAGAAATATAACTTATCCAGATTGCTGGTATTTTAACTCGTCATATTGAGTTCAACATCTTGAATTTTGAAATTTTTGAGGTTGTGTCATCATCTACAGTTCAAAAGCGTCAACCAAGCCATTTTTTCCATAAGTTTACTTTGTATTTTTGGCAAATAAATTTTTAAGAAAATATCATATTTTTTTATTAATTTGTTTATGAATAATTAAATTTGCCAAATTTAATGTTCTATGCAGATGATTCTGTTAGAGGAACATTTTAACTTCACAATAAATTCACATTTACCGCGTTTATCGAGTTTCTACAAATTAGTTTAAATTCGTAAAAACTACTTTAAAAAAGGTGTATTATATATAATATACTATGACTTAAGAGAGTTAAGACTAGATGTGCGAACTATTCGAATTCGAATCGAATCGAATCAGGTAAAATTCGATTCGTTTCGAATTTGAATCTCTATGATTCAAATCCAGATAATTTGAAAATTTTGAATCGAAAAGATTCGAATATAAATCGTGCACATACGCTGACTGCGTCTTATATGTGATACAAATCTCAGAGAATGTGAGACAAATTATATTTTGTCATGACATTTTGTCATCTATCGACCATCCGCGCTTTGGAGAGAAATTAACGGCATTTCAATAGGACATGGAATCTCAAAAAAGGAATACTCTGAGTTAATCAAACTTTTTCAGTTTAAGAGTTTTGATTATTTTTTATTTTAAATTTTATTTAAGATTATTTTCTTTATATATATATATATATATATATATATATATATATAT